TTCAAGATGCATGATGTACTGAGAGACATGGCTATCAAAAGCATCGGTCCTGAATTTGGATATATGGTAAAAGCTGGTATGAAATTGACAGAGGTGCCAGATGAGCGTGGGTGGGGAAATGATCTTAAGAAGGTGTCTCTAGCAGGGAATAACATATCAAAAATTCCCCTTGGGTTGTGCCCAAAGTGTCCAACTCTTTCAACTTTGATATTGTCAAATAATCGTTATTTGTCCGAGATCCCAGAATCCTTCTTTGAAGGTATGCCTGAACTGAAGGTTCTTGATCTTTCTGGAACTGGTATTGAAGCTTTACCTAATTCCATCTCAAACTTGGAGAAGCTCTCTTCCATGAGGTTATGGCGGTGTTGCAGTTTAATGTATTTGCCTTCTTTAGCAAAGCTTACAGCGTTAAAGAAGTTGGATTTGAATAATTCCCGGATTGAGGTGGTCCCTCAAGGCATGGAGAAATTGATTAGTCTGGAATATCTTGATTTAAGGTATTGTTACAATCTAAAAGAGATTCCAATGGGAATGTTATCAAACCTTTCCAATCTCCAGTACTTGTTTTTTGAAATGTTGAAGATAGAAGTAGAAGAGGTTGCGAGAATGAGCAAGTTGGAGACCTTTGAAGGTATATTCAATGACATACAAAGCTACAATTTTTTTGTCAAGTCTCAAGATTTCCAAATTCTTACTGATTACCATATTGAAGTAGTAGAAAGACTCACAGAATCGTCGACTACTCCAGGGGAATCTGTGGTTAGTATCAATTGTTGTGACTTCGGAGAAGAATGTATGGTGCTTCCAGATAACCTTCAGAGGCTGGAGATAGTGCAGTGTAGTAACATGAGAAGCGGCTTAAATAAAGCAGCTTTGTTAGAAAAGGCAACCGAGTTGAGATCCTGTTATATTAGGGGTTGTAAAGATATGGAGTGCGTCGTTGACTTGGACTCATCCTCCTATCTAGTTCTGGATAAGCTTGAAAGGCTGTATCTTATCAAATTGCCTAAGTTGAGTGCACTTGTGAGGGTGGAAGGAGTAGCAACACCACCGCACGTCTTTTCCAATCTTAAAATGCTTCATATTTGGGATTGTTCAGGAATGAGGACGTTGCTTCCACTTGAGCTGCTGCAGGCCTTCCAAAACTTAGAGGAGATTTATGTTATTGAGTGCGAACAAATGGAGGAGATAATAGCATCATCAGATTCAGATGCATCATCGGATAAATTCACTTTTCCCAAGTTAAGGAGATTGTCCTTGAGGAATTTACCCGAATTGAAGAGCATCTGCAGTGCCAAAGGAGTTATGGTTTGTGATTCTATTGAACAAATTAGAATAATCAAATGTCGGGAGTTAAAGAGGATCCCAGTGCAGCTTCCCCTGCTTGATAATGGCCAACCATCTCCTCCTCCTCATCTCAAAGAAATCAATGTAAAAAAAGAATGGTGGGAATCAGTGGAGTGGGATCATAAGAACCTACTTCAACCTTTCTTGGAATATTCTTGGTGGTGATAATTGAGGGGTAAGGTGTTGATTGATTAAGTATTCAATTTCTAATTTTAAGAATGTTGATTTTATTTATTTATTTATTTATTTTATCTGTTTTCCAATTCCTCTTCTATCATTTGCAATCTAGATGGAAGGAAACAATTTCTGTTGAATTGAAGGGATCCAGAGTAAGAAATCATCAACTTAAATTTCCATGGCAGCGACTCTAACGGACGGCCAGGATGAGCGGCAACATACGTAGCTGACATGTCCAAGTAAGTCACGTGTGGCCCCGAATAGCACGTGCCAGTAAAACCCTTCTTTCTCCTTTTCTCCTCCAGTCCAGTCCAGTTATTCTGATTCTGAAACCCTTCTGGATGGAAGAGATCCAGTTGAGTCCAACCTCTGCTTCCCCAATTTCATTTGAGATTCTCGCCAAAATCTCTTTTATCTATGTATGAATTATTATGATTTTAACTCTTTAACTCCTTTTTTATATTTCTTGTTCCATTTTCGTAATTCCAAAATCTACTGCAGATTTTCTGAAATGTTTTGTTTCTATTTGGATTTTTGGTGGCTGGTCTTAGGGATTTCTTATTTTCTTAAATGGGTTCCTTCTGGGTATAGTTATTTTTGTTCAGATTTTTGAGAATTTGGTAGTTGGTTCTAATAAATGTATTGGGTTGTTTAATTTTTGATAATCAGTAATTAGAATATTTAAATTTACTTTTTTCTTTTCTGTCTGAGTTGGAAGTAAAATCATTGAAATGAAAAACATGCAGGATTTCAATTTCAGTATTGCAAAATGCCAATTTTGGCACAATCGGTTGGCAATTGGCAAGAAAAGTCCCAGGCTCCTGTCTCCAATGAACCCCAAGTGCTCTCCGATGAACCCCAAGTGCTCCTAAGTGGTATCATTTTCTATCAGTATTGCAAAATGCCAATTTTTGCACAGGATTTGGTGTCATAAACTCCAATTTGTGAGTATTGATTTCGCTGTGTTCATTTTCTATCTGTATCTGTATTTCGATCTTAAATTGACCTTCAAAATTAATATTATGATTCACCTGCAACCATAATAACATAACATGCTTTGTAGTTTCTTTTATCTTATATTGCATATGGTTTCATTCTGAATAATTTTTCTAAGTTCAATTTTTACTTTTATCTGATATTTGCATGTTCACATGGGAGGTGCAGGTTCATTACCAAGTCGAAATCCAGTTGCACACCAGAAGATGTAATAATTCAATTCTGAGTTCCAATAATTCATTCCTTAACCATAAGCAGTGCAAGTAGAGCGTCATTGCCTAAATTGATTCATTCTTATATGCATTTAATATATTATAAACCAAACTTAATACATTACCATTTGGAATTCACATTACCAGAGTGATTCTAATACTTAATCTCTTTTATCTCTTCTTTCTATGGACTTTTAGCTGATTTTATGCTTTCTTTCTTTTGTTTATTTACTTCTTGCAGATGCACCTATTTGTGCTGATGGTGGTGAAGCAGTTGAAGAAGGGGGCATTAATGATGTTGCTCATGGTGTTAATTTTAAGATAGCTTCCAATGGTGAAGGGCTACAAGAAAAGGAGTGTGGGAGAGAAGTTAAACCAATATTCATGCTTCGTGTCTTTTAGAAAGTACCACTTTGCATTATATAACTGGTCTTCCAGGTGCATAGATCTTTCAAATTTAATCCTTTCACCATCTGATGCTGCTTATCATTGATTCAATTTGTTATTATCATTGATTTCTGGTTATTTACCACATTCTATTGTGCATTGGATGGTGGAGGTGTGCCACACAATTTTAGTGTTTTAATGAGAAATCCAAACTCTGAAGTAGGCTATTTGATTCTAGATTTCCACCTTTCTTTGCTAGGATGCAGTTTGTAATAGCTTGGTTCTACCTCTATCATAGAGTAGCAAAATCCTTGCCAGTGGTTTTGCATTGGAGCTTCCCACCTTCATCCCCAATTTCTGCAGTTATGATGATGGAACTGTAAACGTTGCAGCTGCTCAACCAAAAGCTATAGGAATCTCATTACCTTCCAAGAACAATTACACTCAAGGCAATGTGGTTTCACCATTCAGCAAAATAGTGTCGGCTCAATCAAGTTTAAAGCCATGGTCCATTCAAGGATGGCAGGCAACCATGGAGGATGCTGTGAGTAAAGAATTAAATCTTTTATGCCCTCAAGGAGCTTGAATATCTGGATGCTTTTGTTTTCAAAAATATTTGCATCTTTAATTTTCTCTATTAGAGATATGTTTTAATGAGTAGTATCATTTGCTGTCAATAGCATGCTTCATATCCTGATCTGGGTGCAACTACTTTCTTCTTTAGTGTATGTGATGGTGATTGAGGTAAGAATTGGATGCCTCCAATAAGGTAGCCTAACTGAGATAATGTAAACATTAGATGGCTTTAGTGTTCAGTCTCTAACACTTGACTGAATTATTACAAGCAGGGCAGATTCTGATTGGAAGCATTAATACGTAAAAACAGAAAGGAAGGATTGGGAAGTTTTAATTGATTTGGTTTCCAGGTGAAGCATAGATTTGATTTTGTTACCCTTCGCAAATTTTCATGTACTGCTGTGAATTTTCTTAGAAACCCAACTGAAGTTATTTTGTTGCTTGTCATTAGAAATTCAGGGTTTTGAAATGAGGTTAACTTCAAAGCGTTTAAAATGAGCAAAGATTGAATGATGCTGGTAGTGATTCTGAAAATGAACAACTGATGATGGTTTGTAAACTTTTCAATGATTTTTGTTTTGATTTGATCACTATCATTTTCCTAGTTGTTTCATTTGACTGGGGATTTATGATGTAGGTGTGATGAAATGGGGAAGAGGAAGATGCAAGTCTTGTAGAGGTACATGTTTTGTTATTATATTTCTTGTTCCATTTTGGTAATTCCAAAATCTACTGCAGATTTTTTGAAAAGACTTGTTTCTCTTAGCATTTTTGGTGGCTGCTCTTTGTTTGTTTAGAGGAGATTTCTTATTTTCTTAAATGCGTTCCTTCTGGATATGGTTATTTTTGTTCAGATTTTTGAGAATTTGGTAGTTAGTTCTAATAAATTTATTCAGTTGTTTAATTTTTTATAATCAGTAATTAGAATATTTAAATTAAGTTTTTTTTATCTAAGTTGGAAGTGAAATCATTGAAATGAAAAACCATCTGTTGGCAATTGGCAGGAAGAGTCCCGGGTTCTGGTCTCCAATGAACTCCAAGTACTCCTAAGTGGTATCATTTCTGATTTTGGTGTCATAAACTCCAACTGGTGAGTCTTGATTTTGTTGTGTTCATTTTCTATTTGTATCTGTGTTTTGATCCTAAATTACCCTTCAAAATTAATATTATTATTCACCCACAATAATAATAATATAACATGCTTTTTAGTTTCTTAAGCCAAAAGCTCTATGCAAGTGAAGGTTTCTAATAGAAGTTAGGATTATTTTCAGGTCTCCTATAAGTTCTGTTTAGGTTGAAGAGCAGTCCTCCAAGTCCATATAAAGCTTGTTACTAGATCCAAATTCACAGGTCAGAGTTTCCATAAAAATGATATATGGTCTCATTCTGAACAATATTTCTCTGTTTAGTTTTTTACTTTTATCTTATAATATTGCATATTCACTTGGGAGGTGCAGGTTCATTAGCAAATATGTGGGTTTGTGATTCTGCAACGTCAAAATCCAGTTTCCTGCCAGAAGATGTAATAATTGAATTCTGAATTCTAATAATTCATTTCCTTATCCGTAAGCAGTAGTGGTAATGTCGTTGTCTAAATTGATTCTTATGTACATTTAATAAATTACAAACCAAACTTTATACATTTCAATCTGCAATTCATATTGCTGGAGTGATTTTGATACTTAATCTCTTCTTTCTATGGACTCTTAGCTGATTTTTTTTCTTTTCTTTCCTTTGTTTCTTTACTTGTTGCAGATGCTCCTGCTTGTGCTTATATGATGGTGAAGCAATTGAAGAAGGGGACACTGACGATGATGCTAATGTTGTTGATTTTGAGATTGCTTCTAATGGTGAAAGGCAACAGGAAAAGGAGCGTGGGAGAGAAGGTACCAATATTCATGCTTTGTACCTTTAAGAGTACTGCTTTGCATTCTATAACTGGTCTTCCAGGTGCATAGATTTTTCAAATTTTAATAATTTTTCCATCTGATTCTGCTTATCATTGACTTTAATCCTGCTGATGGTCATTTAGTTTGTTATTAAATATTGATTTTAATTCTGCACTGGATGGTGAGACCATCCTGAACTTCTTCAACAACCAAAGTTGTGTTCGTATAAATGATTTTGGTTTCTGTATTTCTTCCTCCTGTTTGCTGCCCAAATTTTAATCAAAGAAACTGAAGCATACTTGATATTAAAATAATATAATGTCCCCAGAGCAATAAAGAGGACTCTGCAAAAGACTTGGTCATTATTGAATGACCTGCATTCATTCTGGTTTCACTAAGCATGGAAGTGCTTCTAGCTATCTTTTTTATCTTTTTTCCTGATTAATTCAATCAATTGGAGCCTAGTATACATGGCCCTGCTATCTTAGTCGATTTCATTTTGCCTGTTTTGGATTGTAAATAAGCTAGGTTGTAACAATCGCTATCTTTAATTGTTTGGTCTTTCAATGTAGGCCTCCCGTGGAGCTAAGAAGTCTCCCTGCTCCGACTACTCTGGGAAGCAAATAAAGAAACAAGACAAGCAGGGGAAAGTGCCCTCAAAGAGAAAGTATAGAAGAATCTTTCTTTGGGTCGCCAACACTCTGTAAGTAGCAGAATCAGGGAACCCTTCCATGGAGAGACATCAAACTCATAGCACCTTTGAACACTGAACACTCAAAAAGACAGTCTGGGAAAGCAAGGCAATATCTTATCATTCTTAGAAAGAGTTGACTTGGACAAAAGTTTCTGCTTCTTCCTAGCCGTCATTCTTCACTAGATTACATTCTTTCTTTTGGTTGGACGATACTTCTAATTCATGTTTATCAACAATTTTTAATGGGAAATCCAAACTCCAAGGTAGGCTATTTGCTTCCGGATTTCCACCTTTCTTCGCTACCTAGGATGCAGTTTGAAACAGCTTTTGTAAATAACCTTCTTTAGGAATATACAACAGATTTTGGAGACAAAAAAGGAGTTATAACGTACATAATCTATGTTCAATCTCACATGCATGATTTTCAACCATCTTTTATCATGTTGGTTAGCTCACTCAAAACATACTTTACTAGTTGGTATTTTGCACC